CGCCACGTCGGCAGCGGGGACGGGCGGAGGAGTAAAGTCTGAGCGGAGCCCGGGCGGGCCGAGCTGAGCCGGTGGAGAGCGCCGTGCGGTGAGTGAGGGAGCGAGGGAGGGATGAGCGGCCGCTGCCCCCGGCCCCGCCGCCAGCCGGGCAGCCCCCCGAGCGTCCCCCACCTCCCCTCCCTGCCTCCCCGCGGAGGAACGGGAACTTCGAGGGAGGAACCGGGGGAGCACCCGGCGCGCCTCGGCGGAGCCACCGGCGGGAGAGCCGGCTCGGGGATGCGGAGCCGCGGCCACCTGTCCCCGGCGTGGGCATAGCCCCGGCCGCCTTTTGTGCTTCCTGCCGCGGCTCCGCGGGGCGGGAGGGCCGGGCCGGGTGTAGCGGCTCCGCCGCGGCCTTGGCTGCCACGTCAGTGCCGCCGCCCTGCGCCGGGATGCCGGCGGTGCCCGCCACGGCCCCGCGGGGATCCCTGCCCGGGGGTCCCTGCCCGGGGATCCTGCCCGGGGATCGCTGCCCGGGGATCGCTGCCCGGGGATCGCTGCCGGGGATCCTGCCCGGGGGTCCCTGCCGGGGGTCGTTGCCGAGGGTCGCTCCCCGGCCGCCTCCACAGCTCGGCCGGGCACGCCGGTAGCTGCGAGGGGAGAACGCGGCGGGGACTGCGGGGCTTCGGCCGCCATATGGGGGTGTGGAGCGGCTGCTCGGATGCGGGAGCACGGGCACGGTGGGCTGCTCTGCCCCGCCGCTATCACCGTTCCTGGGCCGGGAGCCCATGGAGGAGCGGCCCTCGCCCACCTGGAGGGAGCCGTGCTGGCCTCGGCCTCGCTCCTGGATGGTCTTGTTCTCTCTCCCTGAAGAAGCTTTGTTTTGGGCTTTCTTCTTTTTAAACTTTGCTGTGTTCGGATGTTTGCTGTAAGTAACGTGTTCTTTGCTTCATCCACGTCTCTCTAGTCCAGCTTGATGGAGTAGCATAGGAAAAGTTTTTTTTTGTGAGCTGTTTCGGACTAGCTTAACTTTCCACATTCACCTAGCCTAGGCGTTTATGTGATGTGGCTGGAAATAAAGGCAAGTTGTTTTAGCTATACGCCTGTAGAAACAGGTCATTGTGTGAAGCGCAGAGGCAGCCTCTGTGAATGCAATTAAATGCTTCCTTCTGCTCGTTTAGTCGGGCTGAAAATGAGAAGCCTGATTCAGGATGTCAGTCCGTAAGGAAGACAAATATTAAGCGCTCGTAGCTTGTTTCAGTGTGTCTCCTTGTGTTGCTTCAGGCAGCGTGTCCCTGTATGGCTGGAGGGGACCTACAACATTTCTTCATTTAGCATGTAAATACTGGTTTGTGTGCACATCAGTTTTAAGACTGCTCAGTAAATATTATCTAGCATATGATATAAACATTTCTGTTAAACTGTGGTTAAATATTCAGAAAAGTTATTGTTGCCTCCTCGGTGTAGAAATGGACAGCACTGCAAAAGCACAAATTGAAAAGCAGTTCTTGTCCAGCAAGAGACTGGGTCTAAATATCAGGTAGGAGCAAGTGGTAGATGCTAGGGAAAAAATTGTTTATTTCATTAGCAGAGGTGACAAGSAAGTTCAGAAGCTGCTTTTTTTGCTGTTAGGCACAATCAGGTTTTKTCTTTGAGGGCCTTCTGGAGAAGGAGGTCTGAGACTGATCTGSAGCTCTGGCATTAAGAAAGTGTTAAAAGGAATAGGGAAAGCTCTTCTTCTGAAAAGTGAGCTGGCAGGAGGCAGAGGATGACAGAACTGTTTTCATGGTGCTTCTAAAGCTGTGTTGTGCACTTTACTGGAATGTACCATGTACTTCCTAGGAACCAATTTTGGAGAACTAGAAAAGGGGAATTGTGCTTCTTGCCGCCTTTGATTTTGTATCTTGTAAATCCTTGCATCAGAGGAAACTTGATTGCCAACATCAGCTGTTCCCTGGAGCCTCTTCTGGACCCTGGTCTMTCTTTCAGTTGACAAGCATGGAGAAATGGTGGATTCTCCATCCATAGTATGTGATATAGTAATGCCCTGGGCAGAGTTAAGGAGGTTTTTGTTGCTTTTAATCATGCTGTGTGTTTGGTTTTTAATGCAGATATGTTGCATGACCTTCCTGGCTGTGTTCAGTACCCTGCACAGTGTGAGCCTGTTATGTACATCACATGGCAACTTGYTTTGAGGAAAGTTGTAGCCCATCCTGCTATAGGCTTAGAATTAAGCCGTGCCCCACATCTGGAAGCTTCTGATCAACTTCTTGGAGTCTTTCCTTGAMAATGCAGTCTTTTTTTTTCATCTGAAGTGGGCATGCTTGCTTCCAAGCCAGTCTTGCTTTGTATTTAAATCTGAATTTTGAAAYTTGGCTTTTAAACAGAGGGCTTGTTGAAATGCTAGCTATGCTCTTGCTGTTTAGCTACATGCTTTCTACATGCCTGGATTTGCTTTTCTGCTTTAGCACTGTTAGCATTGACTCCTCTTGCTAAAGCTCAGTCAGCTCTCTCCCCTTGCATTMACAAACTGTAAAACACATTTCTTTGTTGGCTGCGCTCTGAGGGGTTGTGTCTGAGAGAACTGAAAACACTGAACAGAATTACCTGTAAAACCTTCCAAGCCCTAATCCAAGGGGCACAAGGCCACAAAGCTGATGGTGAGGGGTCACTTGTGCAGCTTGAAGCAGTACCTTGAAGAGCAGCCTTGGGTGGGATTACCTTTTTTTGGCTCATGCTTATTTCCTTGTTTAATTTGGAGAGTAGAGCGCTCTTGCTCTTCCAAAAGTGTATTTCTTACACTACCATACCTAAAAATTTTTTTTTCAGTGTAAACACATCGGGTTTATTCAGAAATCTGCTGCAGCTGCTGAAAGAGAGGAAGAAGAGCTGTGCATGTGGCAAGGGTTGTTTGTTTTCCATCAGCTCTGTAGCCACCTTTCTAACTGCTGGTAGCCAGAAGGAACATAACTTTTGTGGTGGGTTTGCTTGCAGCTCTGTCAGGTGAATAGTTCCAGCTCTGTCTGCTGCTGCTGTCTGAAGCAGCATTATTGGCCAGCTGAAATTGGCCCCATCTTTTGAGTTTTTTCGTTGCTGCCCACAAATATCTGAGTAGTGGCATTGAAACAGTTTTCACTGGCTGCTGCTTGGGCCAGGTTTGCTGTGCTGAGACAGAAGGGTTTTTTTTTGTTTGTAAAGTCAGAAAAACACCAAGAGCATCCACTGAAGCTGTCTGTGATGGTAGAGCCCTCTTCTCAACAGGAGGCTAAAACTTTACACAAATTACTGTTCAAGAGCTGCAGGCTCATTGAGGAGGATTTGTGTCTTCACTTGGATTGCCATGCTTCATAGCAATCCTCGTGGCAGCACCTGGARCAAGTAAAATGATCTCCATTGCCCAGAAGAGTTGGTGTTTTGATGAGGTAAATCTCATAAAACTTCGGCATCTTAAGTGTGCCATACCAAGTGTGCTTCTTCTGTRCTGTGGGGATTTATATTTTTGATTCCCACCATACACCCGTGGCAAATACGTGACAGTCACTGTTCCATAAGGTGTCATTAACTTTCTGCCTTTCTCATAGGTCTATGCAGAGTACTTCTGGGGAAACAACTAACTAGAAATCCTCACAAAAGAGTCTATTTGGTGAGTAAGTTTTATTTTAATCAGCATTGTTGTGAATGTATGTGTAGCTGTACCATTACCTCTAGAGCTCCCTGGTGCTTTCATTCAGGATCTTATAACACTGTTAATGTTACAAATAGCTCTTGAATTGCAAACCCTCTTCTAAACAATTCCTTTTTTCTTTACAATGGTGTAAAATATTTAAGCTTTCTATGTAGTTCATATTCTGACAATATGRAAGTGTGTTTTCTTTCAAATCAGTTGACTGACTTCCGTTTTTATTTTTTAATTTTTTTGTATGAAGGCTGTAATTTATTTTAATGTATTGTTAAGAAAGGGAGGAAGTTATCCCTTATCTCTTGAATGGCGAGTACCTTCATAAGTGCACATTTATCTTTACATTTATCCCTGTTTGAAATCTCTTCTACAATCTGGGTTTGCTTSCACTTCTTAACATGAGAAAACACAAATGAAGAAGGAAACTGGAGTGTGTGGTGATGGGATAGATTCCTGCTTCATGAATCTCCATATGAGTTTTGCTGGGCCTCATGGAGATCCTGCCTCACTCCACGTGATCATTGAATGAAGATGTTAAAGGAAGCTGGAGGYTTTTCTGCAGTGACACAAGTCCTTGTGAATTTGCCATCACAGGATAAAAATGCCAAAGATCTCTTTGCTTGCATTCTTCTTTCCCTTTTTTTAGCCAGTCTAAATGTACTTTGAAGAAGATTCTGAAAAACGTATCAGAAGAGTTCCAAAGTTCAGATTTCTGATAAGTCTTTGCGTTGTTGCATACACCCACAGCACTGGTCGTCATTGTGACTAATGATTCCRTGCATAGCAGGGACTTTGAATCTGCAGCTTCCAAGTTTCCAAAGTTCCTTAACTTACACCGTGTTTGAATGACCTAACTCTGCTCAGAAGTCTTATATTTGCATCTCCACATCAGTGCCTTAKGTTTTAGCTGAGTTATGATCTTTATTGGGTCTCACAAATTTTGTTTTCTTCCTTSTGGGGACGAATCTTCAGTGGGAAGTGTGAACAGGATCCTCCCTTAGGATCTGCTGCAGTCTGGTGACCAGGGGACTCTGGTGCAAAGTGGGACACTCAAGATCTTGATAGACAAAGGAGGCATTGAGTGCTTTCACCTTCATGGCATTATGTAAGGTGTAGTGAGTGGTTTCTGTCTTTCTGTCTCTGATTTTTGAAGATTAAAGTTACATTCCTGCCTTCTTGCTCTGAGGAGTGGATGAAGTCATCTGCCACCAAGCAGTTATTCCAGGCCTTTGACCTCCAGTCAATAGAAATACTCATCTTAAATGGCTGGAATGGAGCCAGGTTTAAACCACACTCCTGTGCATATCCTGTTCACCAGATACGCTGCGCCCTGTTTTGCACACAGGATTTTTGGATCAGTTTGCAGAGTCTGTCAAAWCTCCTGACGTGTTAAATTGGATACAAGGAAGGATAATGCAGACTGTAAAGTAGGTATTTGAAAATTTTCTGTAGAAGTCCTTTGTTGGATGTTGGTCTTCATTCTGTGATTCCCTAGAGAGAAAAACAGAAGGACCTGAATTGTGCTTTGTGAGGTCTYGTGTGCCAAGTTGTGTTTCAGGTCAGGCTCTTATTCTGACTCAGAACAGATGTGATTCTGTTTTCATTTGCACTGATACCATAGAGCAGTGAGTAAAACCTGGTACAGGCTGGTTGGGCACATCTCYTGCAGCATCACAGAATCATCAAGGTTGGAAGAGATTTTCACAATCATCCAGTGCAGCCATCCACCTAGCATCCCTGGAGTGCTTCCAGGCACCTGTAGAACCCCTCATGAKACAGTAATTTCCAACTTCCTGGTCTGCAAACCCTGAAGGCTCCTTTCTGTGTGGAACAAATTCAGTCCTACCAACAGTGACTTACTTGCCTTAGCTGCTGTTGTCAGGAGTGTGCAGTTCTCTGATGATTTCTGGGCTCTGATAATAGCAGGTTGCCAGKGCCTGGGCTGCAGGAGATAGACCACTGGAGTCTGTGGAGTTGTGAGTGAGGTATTTCAGTTGCAGTTGTATTAAACCACTGCATTGGAATGATATGTGTTGTGTAATATTCCTGTCTAACTTCTTGCTCCTAACTTATAAGGAGAAGCTTGGGGTCAMGAATTCTGTAACTTTGAAGTTCTAGGGAAGGTAATGGGAGGGAATGCCTAATCTTAACCACTTTTTGTATATAGTGCTGTGATTTTATATGTGCTGGTTGTTTGTTTTTTTTTGTTACAGGATTTCTAACAGACTAGAAATTCTATTGTGAAGTTCCCCCACCAATGCATTGCTTTGCTCATTTAGCTTTGCAGGAACTGAAACCAAATGTAGCAGTCTAAATTAGATTGTGGAGAGTTATGAAAGCATCTCYTACCTGTGTTGTCTGCCAGTCCTACACTTTCCATTGGACAAGTCTTACCTTAATTAAATATTGGTATTATGTCATGAATAACAGATTCTAGGGGTTTTATCTGTGCTCTATCTGCTCTCAGTGTTGCTCTATCCAATACCTTCCTAATAGCACAAGATATTAAACCTTGTGTGAAGTCTACCTATTCCAAAACTGGTAATTTACTCCAACTCCCCTCTAAACTTAGTGATAATCTCTGACAGTGTTTTCTCTGTCTTCTTAAGATTAGATAACTTTTCTGGATCTCTTGTGTGGAATTGTTGACAGATACATTTTGGGAGCTCAAACAAGAAATTTCATCTGGTGTTCTTTAAGGAGTTACATGCTGGCTAGGTACAAATATATTGGTGGAGATAGTCCTTTATAAAATATAACTTACCTCTGGTTTTATTCATTTTCTRTCTTCATTCTCCTTTAAAACTGTTTTGATCATTGTTTCATTYCTTCATTTGAATTAAAACTTGCTARATTCTGATTTTTATTATACTCTTTTTAGGACTTCCCTAAGKCAGTGGTTAAACTCCTTCCACATTCCTGGTGCAGTAATCATCTCCATGACCAAAATGGCCACATGTYAATTAGGAACATACTTCTTTCATCTGGGCACAGATATTTTGATTGAATAATGTCAGGCCTCTCCGTTTCTTCTGTCTACTCTTTCTTACAGTGCTTTATATTATTTCAAGTTGGAAAAAAAGCAACAAACCTACATGGAACTTCACATAGTGAGGGTGATAATCTTGTATTTCTTCCAGTTTGCATTAGATGAATGCAAAGTAGTATCTGAATCAGATCCTTTCTCAGACCTGATTGATCAGGTTCTTCTTAAAATTTATTTTTCCTTATTTGTGATTAAATAAAATAGCAAGGAGTATAGTGGTACTTTCTAAAATTGTCCTTTAGCCCTCAGCTTGATGTGTTCCAACTCTGCAACTTTGTCACGGGTGGAAGCAGAGGGGCAGACAYGGTTCTCTCTGGTGACCTTGACAGGACCCAAGGGAATGGCATAAAGCTATGYCAGGGGCAGTTTAGGATGAATATTCAAAAAAGGCTCAGCCAGGGTGTGATTGGGCACTGGAACAAGTCCCCCAGCAAAGTGGTCACAGCACAAGAAGTGTTTGGACAMCGCTCTCGGGTGTGTGCTGGAATTCTTGGTGCTGCCCTGTGCAGGGCTTTGATGATCCTTGTGGGTTCCTCTCAGCTTGGGATATCATATGGTACTTTTCTATGCTTTAGCTTCCACATTTGCATTTCTGGCTTTTGAGTGGTGTTTGTTCAGCATTTCCATCAAATTTGCCATCTTTTAGTAGGTATTTTTGCTTGCTTTCCTSTTCAGCTTCTTGTGTAAAGGTATTTGTGTTTTTTGAGCCTTGCACTGATACCTTTAGTGCAGATTGGGAGGACTCTTGAATATTCAATTTAGGCTTGCTTCTCAYCCAGAGATCTATGATTTAGCATGTGGGTGCCAGTTTTTACCGTGATGCTTTGACTTCATAATAATACTGTGAGGGTTTTAGCTCTTGTTTTCCAGATGAGYCTTCCTACCTGTTTCTGCCTCCTCATTCCTTCTTCACATCCCAGCCATTGYTTTCTCACTCAGAGTTACCTGGGCATAGCAAGAGGGGCAGTTGACTCCTGGAAGAAATGAAATGATTTAAAGACTTATGCAGAGGGAAGRGAACTAAGAGGTCACAGGCAGAGAGAGAAGGATGCTGACTGGTGTAATGTGACTTATTTTTCCTTATTCTGACCTTGGTACCTGCTGAGGAGGGAAAGCAAGATTAGCAGGAGGACTCAGGAGAGGAGGAGGACTTAATAGCAAGGCATGATTTGGCGGGGGAGGAAAGCAGGAAGGAAACCTGGACTGATTATTCCTTTCTTCCCCTCCAGAAGAAAAATTCTGTAAGCAGAGCTGCTGATWTGAGCTTTCTCCCATGCTTCTAACCCTGACTGCAGCTCTGGAACTGCTCTGGGAAACAGCTTCTACTGTAAAGAAGTCTTTTCTGAAGTGTTTTCATTGGAGAGTTTGTGCAGAGTTAAAGCAGCCTAATTCTGCTGCTATCACCACACTGTTTGTGCAGTTCTGTGACAAGATAAATCCTGTGTTTCTGTTGCTGTTCTTCCATCTTGTTTTCATGGCATTTGTTCAACTTATGCTGCAAGGACTTGTTTTTTTTTAAACAGCTTTGCAGGTGCCAGCAGATCTCACAGGCATGCTGCTATTGTTTCTCTTGTGGCCACCACCTCTATGATCACTGGGCTTTTTTTTTTCCAGTACTTACACATAAGCTGYTGTATGGCAGCAGCTGTTTGGTTTTCATACTCATTGTCCACTCCATTGTAGTGGAGAGCTCCTTTTTCCAATATTGAATCTGGTTGAAGAATACAAAAGCACAGTCTGATAATAAAAATAGGAGCAGTTTGACAGGAGCTGCTAACTTAGCTAATAATGAAAAAGAAGTTATCCTTGTGGAACTTAAACTGCTTGAATTTTGGATTCATGGATTACATTTATGCTTTGACAGAAAAGATGTMTAGCAAATGTGAATTTCTTTTTTTAGGCAATAATGAATCAAATGGACAAAAATCAACAGGAAGTCCCATCATACCTTCATGATGAACCACCAGAAGGTATGTATTAGTTTTCATGGTATGAAGCAAATGAATCAGGAGTTCAGTTCTWGCTTTAAAAAATGGATCTGTAAGCCAAACACTTCAACTTTCTTTTATGTAACAGTAAACAAACCTGCCCTGGGATGAGATAGGCCTGGGTTATTGTTCACTTCAGCATTATCCTCATTACAAAAAGGCCACTGAATAGAACTCAGTAAACAACTGTACCTATAAATTATACAGAAGATGGGYAGATACTGTAGGACTTAATTTGCAGATTAGTTTCCAGCGATACGAGTTGTTCTAATGGGTATTTATTTTTGCTCTTCATTATGTGAGATGGAAAGAACCTAGCTTCATTTTTGGACACGTTGCTGTGTTCATAGTGCATGTGACTTTTTAACAAGATGTGTTTAAAAATACATAAAACTTCATTATCACTTCTGGGGACTGTTTTTCTGAAACCATGAGATTGTAAACGGTTAGAACCACAGTTAATTATATCCTGAAAAACAAACACGCACTTGACTTGGTTAATGCAGCAACATMATGGTCTCCTGAACCAAATGAATCCTAAATTGGTTATTAGATCTGCAGAGGAAATGCAGTTGCAAATGAGCAGAGTTCCTTCCAGGCTGTGGATTGGTAGGATTGAGCAGAGTCCTGTTTGCAYAATGTGACTGGAACATACTGGAGCAGTAGGTATGTCTGTGTTCTGTCTGYTCTTGCTTTAAAACCAAATGTGTCAGTGAGTCATGATTCCTCTCTTTTCACCTCTCTTCAGTTTATAATGGCCCTTTAAAGCTCTGTTTGTTTGTTGGTTTGGGTTTTTTCTCACCTCAGCTATTGTATGTTTTATAACCAAACAATTTATTTCATTTGAACATCAGTATTATCCACTAACTTCAGCAGAAAGGGTTGGAGTGGAATAGCTCACTCTATTCTTACTACTATTAGGAAACACAAGTACWGGAAGATGAGAGGAAAGGGAGAAATATATTTTCATGGCACGGTGATTCTTCAACTCTGTTATACCTGAACTTGTTACAGTAGCATGGTGTGAGGACAAAAAATCTTGCTCTTTTGGTGGTGTCAAGATCCCAGAAGCATTYCTGATAGCAAATGCCAGATTAGAAACTGCACTTTAATGTGTTATCTTCARGTCTAAGTTTTAAAACTGGGTCTTGTTTGCTTACTTGTTTGGGGTTTTTTTGCCTTTAATCTTTAATTATGTTTTATACATGTTAAACATCATGTGTAGAAAGTGAAGAGTGGTCTGAAGACTAGAACTAATTTTTTATTGAGTGAGGCAGTGAAATAGTTTGGCATTTTTTATTTTCCTAGAATTTTCACTAGGTTTTCCAGATACAGAGCATAACAGGAGAATYTGATCATCACTGGTTATTCCAAAGTTTTATTTAAAATTTGTGGGCAGCTAAGACTTACTTTCTTTTGCACAGTTTCTTTAAGTATGAMAATAACCAGTTTGAATATGAAGTCTAAATAGATGAAGAAAGTTGGTGTAGTTAGAATGAAGCACAACTCACCTTAATGTAAATTCCATGCTTGAAGAGGCTTTTTCCTTTTGATTGTGGTTCACATGCACTCTTCAAGCCTTAAGAGTTTAGTTAAAATGTTGGAAAACCCGTGAAGAACAACCCCATTTTGAATGTTGTGTGAGGCCTTCATATGTGATACACTTACACCCTCATAGAGARATGGCCAAATGTGGATGGAAGGGGACCAGTTAAATGCTGGCAAGTTCTTCTCTCTGAATRGGCTGCCAAAATACTCCTTAGAGGGAAGGCTCAATTCCAAAACCAATTTGCAGTTTTTCCTAAAGACAGAAATTGTTGTASCTTGTTCAAATCACACTCAACAAGATTGGTGCCCAAAGGCTTTAAAGAATGTGTGGAAGAAGCTTTTGTGCTCCTGCTTTTTATGAGTGGTGCTGTTCTAATGCTGTATTTTCTGCCTTGCAAGTGGCACCAACCTTTGCAACCTAAGTTCTTTCAAACTCTTGTTGGTTGTTGGATTCCTTTCAGCAGGAAGCTGGCTGCAAGGTAACCTGGTAGAGCCAGCTCCTGGACAGGGAAATAGTGTCATTTTCTCAGTGCTCCATAAATCACAGAATATTCTTAGTTGGAAAGCACCCACAAGGATCATSGAGCCCAASTCTTTAAGTGRAGRGCCCATATGGGAATCAGCCCACAATCTTGGTGTTACCAGCACCATTTCTCAGTGACTGAGCCAATCTCAGATTTAGGCATGATCTGGTACTCTTTAGAAAGATACTCGTTAGAAAAAAGAGACCAGGGATGTGTATCCTAGAACAGAAATCACCTGGCAATAAAACTTTGCAGCTCTGGTATTTACTGGACCTCATGGACAGTGCAAACAGGATGGAAATGGAACATGGCAGCCATTGCCAGAAGTTATTTGTACACTGTCACATTCTGTATTTACATTTGTGAAATAAATGTTGTCAAAGGACTGGCTACCTGAAGTAATGTAAAGAAAAACACATAGAGATGACTTTTGTTTGTTTCTCATACTRTTTTTGAAGTTAGTTATGATGGATCATTTCTTGCTAGTATCAGTTCTGATTCACTGAAATCGATTCTTAAAAATCAGTGGGATAAAATCTTACACCTACTTCACCCTGATTGATGATAGTGAATCWGTGAACTAGAAGTGAAACAGTTTCTGACCAAATTTGTTACAAGCTCTGTAAGTCTGGTCACAAGAATCCTCTAASAAATGATCCCTAGACATTGGGTTTTATAGCAAGCTCTGCATACTCCTTTCTGAGTGTGATGCTTTAAGGGCTTTCTGTATGCAAATAGAAATTCCTGTCTCTGTGTATTTGTGTTGGCATTGCATTTTTGCTGGAGATGTCCAYGTTGAAAGCTGCTGGCCTAGAATAAACCAGCAAGGGTATTACATGGCCTTCTGTAAAAGGCTGTGATTTATGTTTTCASTTTCCATTACCCATTTGATTATTTATTCAATTTCTTAAATAAGAGACTAATGTAAGCTGGAAGTACTTATGGTATTTTCTACTCCTTTGAGCTTCATTATTCCTCTGTATCCTTTTTTTTTCATTTTTGTCAAGCCTGTAGGAAATTCTCTCATTTAGGTGGCATCTTCTGTTTGAATTATTCCAGGCATGCACATAGGAACTCTGAACTTTACAGTTTTTTAATGAATTGAGTCCTGGGTCTGTCCTGACATTATCACTCACTGGCACTGCCTGGAAAGTTGTTCACCTTAGTTTTCAGCTTGTAGCAGACAAGTGCTGGGATGTCACTTGGAAGCTGTCCTCTGGATGCAAATTGTCACATGCAGTCAGGGTGTTGGGGACAGACCTGTTCTGCTGGTTCTCCTAAGGTGTGTTGCAGTGGAAAATCAGTGTGTTGGCAGAGCTGGACAGAGCTCTCCAGTGCATCTAGAGCTGATTTTTCTTTTCTGCTGCCTCCTACACTCATCCTCCTCCAAGCATGTTATTTCTGCTCCCAATTCCCTCAGCTCTTTATTTCGTATTTGTTCTTCCCTAGCTTTGCCCACTGTGGTTCCACTTGCTCTTTTCTTGGTTTCCCTGTTGTTTGTTACTTGGAGCTAGGTCTTGCATGAGCATCCAAGAAAAGCAGCCTGCAAGGTAAGTATGCACTGAGTGCAGTGGCTGTTAAGTGAGAAAAGAAAATATGAGTAAGGCTTTTCTTGAGAATGCTTAAATGCCAGTGCTGACATTGATTTGCTTGTTGTTTTTCTCTCCCTAGGGTCACTCAAAGATCACCCACAGCAGCAGGCTGGCATGCTTTCTCGTGTGACTGGTGGCCTCTTCAGTGTCACAAAGGGAGCTGTTGGTGCCACGATCGGGGGTGTTGCTTGGATTGGAGGGAAGAGCTTGGAAATCACCAAAACAGCAGTGACATCTGTGCCTTCCGTGGGAGTGGGGCTGGTCAAAGGAAGYGTTTCTGCTGTAGCTGGAGGCGTTACAGCTGTAGGATCTGCTGTTGCAAGTAAAGTGCCTTTAACAGGAAAAAAAAAGGACAAGTCTGACTAAAATGAAAACTGAGATTCACTCGATTCTCCAGAATATTCTGCCAGTGGCATTAATATCTGCTAAGATTGGGACCATGAGAAGCCATGTGTCTTAGACACTTAATGTTCTAACGAGTTGTGCAAGTAACTCGWTTTCATCTGAAAAGGACAGAAGAAGCTTGGCTGGCACAGCCTATGAGGATTTATTAAGAGCCTAGATTGAAGCTTTGTATCTGGTGAAATGTTACACTTGATAACTATAGAAGTGAGTAAGTGTATCTGAAGGAATAATATTTGAATATTCATTTACTGTAAATCTTCTGCAGTTTTGGACTAAAATGTGAATGTAGAAGCTGGGTAGTCTCTGATGCCATGGATACGACAAGATGCCAATTACTGTTCTCAGTGGTTTCCACATCCTCCTGCTAAGAATCCTTCAGCTGTGTGAAGCATTGTTGGATGTACCCAGTCTTGGTTGTGAACCTGTATTTGCAGGCAGCCTGTAACTATCCCTGACTGCATTCTGCCAGTGAAGACTGGAGCAAATAGAACTGGAGGTGTGCAGAAATTAGTAAATGAGAATGGTAGGTAGAAGTGAAAAAGGTTAAACAGCGTGGTAGAAGGGTTCATAAAGAGTAAACTAACTCAATGCCTTATTAGAAGAAAATCTCTTTTTACTAGGTGAAGCTGTGTAAAGAACTGTCCTGTCGTTTCAGTGCAGTTCACAGAATGAGCCTCAGGCTCTTTACAAATGCTGGTATCTGAAACTTGTTCAATTTTTTTTCTGAAAACGTGATTGCTCCATCTCAGGTGTATTTAATACTACGCATCTGTCTCCTGCAAGTGAGAACTTGCTTCTAATAAACTTCTTMTAGACACTAGAAAAATGAGGGCCTAATGGAAACTGGGCTGGTGTTTGTGGTCACCTAGCACAAGTAACTTGCTAGAAATTCTTCTGTGTAGCTGGAAACCACTGAAGAACCAGCAGAGCTGTTCTTTCAACTCCATGATACACCAGGTTAGCTTTTTGCTCTGTTTAGGCAAATGGAAGGAATTTTTCACTACATCTCTCATGATTTTTTTTTAGTAAAATGCAATACTTCTATTTAAAACAAACCAAAAATGGTAGATGAGGCCTTTGAAAACAAACAAACATCATTCAAGTACTTTGTATACTGACAGATTACAAATGTTGATACCTCAGATGGGAACACCTGTACATCCTCTGCAGCATGTGAGGCAAAATGCATTTGTAATGGCACAGCATGACGTTGCCTTAAAATGTTTGTGATCTTTTATTTGTGTACTGATTTTGCAAATAAGTAACTCCTTTGGAAGTCCATGAAAGGCATCTATTCATGTTTTGTATGCAGTATTTTCTAAAAACTTGTGTTCTTCTGGAGAGCTTGTCCAATTACTTTTTCAGTGGCTGTGGTTGTGCTAGAAGGATAWATATGGGGGGACTTTTTAAAAATGAAAAAATCAAAACATATCACTTGTCAAACTTAGTCCTCTGTTCAGGGGTGCTGAAAGTACACCATGTCTAAATTATGRTACTGTAGTCACCCATTCTCTCTGAGCCATTCAACTGCACTCTGTAGCAACTTTRTTTTATATCAGTAATTGTATATATTGGAAGCTCAGTACTTGTGAGCATGGGAATTTGGGGTGGTGGGGAGAACAAAATCCCAAAAAATGGTGTCTGCTCCTTCTGTTAGATGCACCAGCTGCTTCRTTCTGATCTGCAAGGATGTAATGAGGTAAGTTTATGCAACAAATGGAAGACTTTAACTTYGTTTTATAGTCAAAAGCAACTTGCTATATTTAGAATATAGAATGGTGTAGAGGTACCAGTTAGCTCTAGAAATGAGTTAGCCTGGGATATCAGAGGCAATCTAGCTGCAGCATATAGTTTAGGATGGTYTGCTCCCCTGCTATTTCCAACATAGCCATATCCCCCAAGTGCTGCCACTGAACTCTTAAGAGTCACCTCTTGTGTTTGGAGCACAGTGATAATTTGTGACATTCAACCAAACCCTTTCTAAGAGTTGTTCTAAAAACGGGAATGTTGAACCGGTCATACCCATTTTTAAATGATATTCTTTAATTTTTAAACTATAAAACTTGCAGCAAAACAAGTGTGGTCTTAGATAAGCAATGTTAGATATGTGAAGAGTTGCCAGCTCTTCATGATGTTTTGTTCTTRACATATCCTGTAGCTATTGCTTTGAGTTTTGTAACTGAAATGCTTTTACACAGCATATGGTTCTAGTTTTCAAAGAGCTTTGTCCTATATCCTGTGTGTTCTCYTTGCACTTATGAAACTTGCTTCATCTTAAAAACTTGTTCCAATTCTGTCCTGGCACCTGTGAAACATTAAATTGTTGCTGTTTCAGACATTTGGAAGCTTCCTTAGTTTTGTGGAGATAGGCATACTTAGGTGTAAATCTTCCCACAGTATGATGTCCATGGTGTCTTTAATCTGGGTCTACTTGGCATCAACCAGGTCTTAACAAAAACTGTAACTTCAGTGTTTAAGCTGTGCACAGACACAGCACAAAATCCTTTGCTCTCATTCTCCTTTCCCCTGATGAGTGATGCTTGGACATACCCACTTTTAGAATCACAGTGAGCTGAAGKGAGTATGGAACTGAAATTTTCAGGAGATGTGGGGTTGTTTTTGTGGTGACTTTATTTCACTTTTATTTTCCCAGTCCCTGTTTCAAAAAGGGAAAGGTTTATGAGGGCAACTTGTATGCCTGACTGCTCACTGTGTAATCAAAGGCTTAAACACAGGCTGGCCACAGATTTCAGCAACAGTGTTTTGGTGATTGGGAGCTTTCCTGAGGCTCTGTTGTAAATTAATCTTGTGAAGAAGAGAGAAACTCTATGTCCCAAACAYAGAGTTATGAAGGATTGACTGAATTTTCATCTGGTAGTAGAGAAAATGCATTTCTGCTMATGCTTTTATTTTGAAAGGGGGAAGAGAATTGAAACATTCAGAATGCAAAATGAGTTAGTGATAATTCAGGCTGTGACTCAATTAAGGAAATACATCTTTTTCCTGTTCTGTTGCCACTGGAGATAATCTAAGTGATGGGAATAAGCTGTTTCTAGAACTTTGTAAAAACAGCTACCTGTAGAAATGCTAGAACTAAATATTCAGGGAAAACACTGTTTTATGTCTTGGTTTCCTTTTCCTGTTAAGCCACCACTCAGRTCTCTGGCTCAGTTAGATTGTGATAGGAAGAGCTTTGGAGAGCTGAAATGCCCCTTGTGTCTGAGGGGAAGGAAGCTTTTGAATTCAGATAATATTGTGGTCTGTTTAATAGATAGTATTATGGTCTGTTTAATAGCTGAGCAGAAATGACACTTCGAAAGTGAGAAAGGCAAAATTCCTGTGAATTTTTAATACAATGTGTTTTGAAACAGCATAGATACAGCTTAGTACCACAGCCAGACATTTTTTCATGCTGGTGCTACATTCAAAAATGACTAGSTGCCAAAACGTGTGTTCAAAATGACCTTGAAGAATGCCTGGATTGAGAGTGGTGTAGCTGGTTTTTATTCRGCTGTCAAGAGGGAATGTGTGTGCAATAGCTACTTAGGAATGTCTGAGAAATAAAATTACTGATGATCCTAATTCTATTGAGATGATTGTCAACGATGCTACTATTTTATATTATCATTCACAGCCCATAAGGCAGAAGAAATCAAATCCCCTGAGAACTTAAATGCTGATAGTTACTATTTTGAGAGCCAACACTTGTTGCCAATTATCAGATGGTGTTATCTGAGAAGCAGTGCCACCCCTATATTTAGAAACTGTGGCAGCTGCTTGCAAATCTGGTAGACATTTTTAATCACCAGTACTTCAGAGTAGACTTTTGTTACACCTAATAGAAAAGCATGACTTTCTCTTTTCTCCTARCATCATTTGAGATTTGAGTCTCTCCCTAATGTTTCTTGTCCCCAAACCCTTCTAGAAGAGAAGAAATTAAGAACTACACAATAGCAATAAATGTATTTCCTCCTGTCCCAAGCCTTTTGAAAAATAAGTTCATTTTGAAGTCTCAGAAATGTTGTAAGAAAGGCTGTAATCTTGTTGTTTCTTTGCTTTATGATTTGTATACAAACATACTAACTAGGGCCTCACCGTAGCAGTCACKGAATTAAACAAAAATTATGTCCCACCCCTGTTCTCAGGACAGGGCTTTCCTATCCAAGAAATCAACTCTGTTTCAGGTCAGGTCCAGGAGCTACAGTGGGAAAAGAACTMCAAGAGAGTTTTCTGAAGACAGTGGACCAGTGGAATGATGAACACCGTTGAAAAAATAATCCTTTTGTCTTCCTCAGAAAAAAAATTGTGCTAATCACTACTACAGACTGGACTATGCAGTGAGAGCTGAAAATCTAAGGCAGTTAATGCCCTACTGGGTATGCAAATGTAACATCTGAGGGTACTCYTAGAACAAAGCAACCTTTATCATAACCATCACTTTTATGGTATTTGAAAGCATTAGAATATTACAATTGTATCATGAAGTTGTGCCTGGGCAAAGTGCAGTATAAGACACAGTYTGGTTAAGATTGCTTTTGTTCCATCTCTTCTCAAAGAACCAACTTCCTTTKTAATTTGCTTTTGCATAACTTGAAATACAGCATTCAAATTAGTCTTCAATGTGTAGAGGAGCAACAGGATTAAAAATTGGTCTCTCCCTCTTTGATTGTATCTTACCAAAGCTAACTTCAAAATCTTTTTTAGTACCATTCAAGCTTTCTAGATTCCCACTCTTGATATCATATCCTAATGCAGAGAGTTTTTTAATTCGGTACTGAACAATTTGTGTTGTCAACTCCAGCACCATTGGTGTTTCCCTAATCTGTGCTATAGAAATTCCTTCCTTCAGTAGTCCTTCAAGTCTTTCTTCCAAAACTGGAACAGAATAGTAGAGAAGGGCTGGGCATTTCAGCACTAGTTGTTTTAGTTCTTGATCACTGCACTTAAAGACCTTTTTGGAAAAAAGCATACTCTTCTCCATTGTARTAGAATTAAGCTGAAAAATGAAACCTTTAAGTTTGGACAGCAGCTGTAGAACTTCCTGGTCAGTGAAATCATTCTTTTGGAGAAATTCCAGGTTCTCCTGGATTGCAGTGGARGTGTTTAATAAAATAAATGGATTTTGGCTCAATAGCTTCAGTATCCAGATCTTCATATTTGCCTCAGAACCCCCTAAATTTAAGTAATTTCTTTGTAATGTCTCAATTACATTTTTGTTTTTCTCAACAGGATTATAGAAAATATTGGGTGCACTTGTCAAGAACCTGGTGATTATATTATTCTTAAGTCCCAGCTCTTGAAAAAACAGTATATTTGCCTTCTGATTCTGGTGATAGTCAGTAGTAAAAAAAGACTCTGGAAATTGTCCTATTAATTTAACCAGCTGTTTGTCATTCTGGCATACTAATTGCCATAAAGCTCTTTGAGAGTTTATYTCTGCTGGGGTGTGGAGAATTGCCTCTGGGCAGCGTTCTATAATGYTGGCTACAGTGGTCTCATCTGCTCCCATTTCTTGTAAGATACCAGCAATTTCTTTAACATAGGCCACATCCTGGAGAAGAACCCATTCCTTCAGTCTGCGGATCTTGGTGATGTCAACTGACAAACTGTACAGACTCTCAAGGGTTTTTTTATTTTCCTGTCYTGACTTGGTGTCCGTTGTGTAATTGCAATGTATTAGGAAGCTTCTGTTTGCCACGTCAGGACACACTGGTGAAAAYTTCAGTGCTGGGTTATAGCTCTGAGATCTTGACAACAGAAGATTGAATGTGTCTTTTGCACTGTGAGCRGCTCCTCGCAACATCGTGGAAGTCAGTCCTGTGGAGACACAACAACTGTAAGAAAACACATTTAAGGAATGGTTTAATGGTCAGAATCATTKATGTTTAAATGGAGCTGGTATAAGAAATTACTCTCAAGAGTGGTTTTTGTTATTAGTGCAAAATCCAGCTTTCACTTGAAAGCAGGGGGAAAAGACTTTTTTTGAAAGGTTAATGCTCTGACAGATATGTCACTGGAATGGTAACATGGATGCAACCAGACCTGATGTGAGACACTGCTCTGTCCATATCAATGTCTGCAGTCCTACAACCTCCAAGCTGTCAGACAYTTCTTGGAGCTAACATTGTTATTACATCACACATCACTCACCCTGTACAAGAAAAATGATTCATGCAATTTCATTTGACAACAATCCCACTAAATTAATAAAAAAGGCAGCTTAAATATCTTTCTTAGTTCTTATGARTGTATTTGCTTTAACTTCTCAAGCATTATTTGCCGTGTGAGTTCTTTCATGTGTCAGAGACCTACCACGCAGTGCTGCTTCAACAACAGTTCGTAGCATAACTTAATTTGGAAATAATTCTTTATATAATTGAGAAAAAAATCACATGAACCTTTATGTAAGTGTTTTCCACCAGCTGAGTGCGTTAATTGAGTTTGAATAAGCACCCTGGTATTTTGGGGGAGGGACCAAGTAYGCAGTAACATTTCCAGGCCTTCACCTGCCTCTTCAGCACTTACTTTGCTCCAGCTGCCCTTGAACCAGTGCCTTATTTCTGCATCCAGGTGTCTTCTGCAGCAGAGAGTCCTTGTGGAATAGATTTGTGGCTGTGCTGGAGTCCACAGGGCCAAGCCCTCAGCTCACCTTTGCTCAGCCTGGCTGCCCAGTTATCACCGATAGCACATGTGCTGTCAGCTGCTCTGCAGGGCTGAAGGAGCCGCAGCATCAAACAAAGATATCGTCAAGTGGATCTTTAACTTCCCGGGGCGTGTTTTTGTAMCAGCCCTTTGGAAGTACCGAGTGTGAAAGGGAGAACTGCTGATCTCTGCACTACTCCCGCAAATGGCTGCTGCTGGTAACATGCCTGGAACTGCTCAAACTGAAAATGAGAACATTTGGACAGCTGCTTTCACCTCTCCCTAAGAATAGCATGCTTCAAAAAGTACCTGCTAAGCATTGTTAAATTACTTTTGGTTCCGGATTTTTTTGTTCGATTTTTTTTATGAGATTAAATACTGTTATGATCATGCAGTTTAATCTCCTACATAATAGACCAAGATACCTATTGCACAGCTGTACAAGATCCCTAGAATCTTCCTTATAGCCCATCCTCGAAGAAAATATGTGGTTTGTTTATGGAACTTTAGTGGTAGATCCYCTTTCTAGTTGCCAGGTAAGGTTAAGTATTTTCTAGAGGTAAATCCTTTATCTCTACAAAGTGGATCTTTGCTTTTAGGTTGGGTTTTTTTTTTCTGCTTCTAAGCTCTTCTTATGTTACTACATCATAAACTAATAGAATAAGACATTATTTCCTATATGCAAGCTTATGTTACTAACAGAARTTGTTAACTGACAACTTGTTCTTCAGTATTATTTCACACCTCTAGGGCAAAGCCAGTTGCCTCAAGGCTGATGGTTTTTCCATACACTTTGTGACTTGAGAAATGCTGTCCCAAGCCCCACCACAGAGGAAGGGATTTCTCCCAGTAACCATGAAAGTGTAGGTAAGTCACAGTTGTTTTGTGTGCTGACCTTTCCATGTCCTGAAAAAGTGACTGCAAACTAAAGTCTCTCCTCCACCATGCCTGTGTCTGAGCACTTGGAGTAGTTCTACTGAGTTAAGTGGATCTAATCAGAATAAGTAAATCTCTGAAGGACCARGGCTTTCTTCATTAATGCTTCAGCTCAAGTAGAAGCTACAGCAAAGCAAAACGTCAAAATTGTTTGAGATGTCAAATATTTCCAAAATACAAACTGCAAAAAATAACCATGACTTACTTTTACTTCAATGTGTAATTCTGCTGTTTAACAAAACTGGCTTAAGAATAATGAGGTCCCTTCAAATATTGTAATTTTTACTATAACAGATTTACTATTTTTTTAAAATCTGATATAGTCAATTGTGCTATTTCAAAATATGACATGAGAATGGCTGTCATATTCACTTAAAAAAAGCTTTAAAAATGCCTGGCATCATAGTCAATTAGTGAGGATCATCAGAAACACAGAATWCTGTAAAAGAAAGGAAAATTTTATTTGCCAAAACTCATTTGACTGGGATATTCAGAAGCCCTTGTGAAAAAGCCCTATGCAAAATACAACATGCAAAATAACATGAACAAATTAGAATGTCATTGTGTTCTATGGAAACCAAGAAGATCTGAGTTATGATTTGATGTATTTCCAAGACCATAGAGGACAGTATCACATTTCCAGGGTAGGGAACTGATTTCAACAATTCTGAGTTCTTGTAAAGCTCTTGTTGGATCTAAAGTGCAGGACCACTGTAACTTTTTACACACTTAGGGTATTGTAAAACAATTGAGGGATTAAGAAAAAAAACCTCAGCCAGCTTAGATAAGATGTTCACCCTCACTGCCAACAGCACCCTCTCACCACCAAGTGTTAGMACAGCAATAAGGAAGTGAGCTAATGTCTGAAGTTACCTGTGATCCTGCTTGCTAGCACACTTGCAGAGACCTGTATGTACAGAACAAAGGGGTGCTCTAAATTTCATTATTTAATATGACTTCTACATAGATCTTCTATAGGAAATGGATACAAGGGTTAACTGGTTGATTTATCTATCCCTCATTTGAATTTCTGAATGTGTGTTTTGAAAATGAGCAAACCCAAACTTTTACTMATGTTGGATTGTTCACAAAATCTTTCAGGAAAGAGGGCAACGGTATGACTGCTGACCACTACCATTCTCATTACAGRAAACTTAGTAGGCTGTAAAGAATTAAATGAAATTACTGAATGCCTAGATTGAACTTTGAGTTAATCAGGAAGAGTCAGGAAGAGAGCAGTGTAGGCAGGTTTTGAATGGTTTGCGAAGGAATCTGGGGCTGTGAGAGGTAGCACTTTTGCAGATTAATGCACAGCAAATGTTCACCATCCTGCACTTACAAAAAATGAATCGCTGCTTTGCATTAGTGGTGGAAATGAGGTAAAGGATCATAAAAGATACTCTACACATAGACAAAGCTTTCTAGAAGAAAACACACAGGATCCTAGGCTAAACCAGGTCTTTAGGGGCATCAAGAGATCAAAGCAGGGTCTGCAGGCTCCAGGCTGCTTTGTCAATCTGTTCTTTAAAACCTCCAGACATGGAGCCCACCCGGCCTCTGTGGGTTACCTGTTCTACTACTCAACTGTCCTCATGGGAACAAAACGTTTGAAAAGGCATTTGAGAAGCGCATAAGGACCATTTGAGAAGCGCATAAGGACCATCTGAGAAGCGCATAAGGACGCATTGCACTATTTAAACCACTGGTCATTAAGTGGCGGGGGTGCTTTCAGTACAGACAGAAAGGGCAGGCAGGAGGCGGATGTTTTCCTGCAGCCGGCACCGGAGCAGAGGCTGCAGGCCCGTCCGGCCCCGAGCGCTCCCGCAGCCGCTCCGGGCCGCTCCTGCCCGAGGCCCCGCGCATCCCTCACAACTGCCCGCTGCACCCTCAGCACCGCGCGGCTTCTCCCGGTGCCCGCTCCACCCTCAGCGCCGCGCCGGATGTTGTTATTGTTAAAAGAATATTAATAACAAGCGCCCCCCGTGCCCCAGCGCCGGGCCGGCCGCTCCCCCGAGCCCCCGCGGCCCTCTCCCGTTCCCTCTCCCGTTCCCTCTCCCGTTCCCTCACCCGTTCCCTCACCCGTTCCCTCTCCCGTTCCCTCACCGCGCTCGCCGCCGCCGGGCCGCACCACTGCCGCCGCGCGGGGGGCGCTGGCGCGTACCATGTGCCGGGGAGGGACCGGCCGGGCCAAAGCACCCGAACCTCCGCCGCTTGTGCAAGGGGGATTGCCCGAAAAATGCCTGGAAATAAAACTCCRYAGACCTGTGWCTRTAGAGCAGGTGTTTGTTTAKTGCAGCGCTGGAKGTGAGGGGGATTTCTCCTCYTAACCCACCCRCCTTTGCTTCAAATTAGCACATATTTATCCAGTGAGCGTGGTGTAACATTACCATTGTCACTGCCCCCATACACCCACCATACACCCACCACCATCCATGGGCACGGAAATCCACGATATCACAGTTTTACACGTGTGCATGTGCCATCCTCAATTCGGTGGTCGCGGGGTTCTCCCTCTAATGAGATCCCATCCTCTTCATCACGGTGGACTTTTAACCTTTGTCTTCAGTTACGACTTTCATGTTTTTTTTCTAGTCCTCCAAGTCGTAATTTCCAATTATTTTGCTGATTGTCTCGTGCCTCTGCCAAGTTCTCATTAGTTCTCTCTACTGTTCCTTGTTATAGCATCTACCTGTCCACTTTCTTCACAACTTTTCTGATTTATGCCTCTTGGTGATTTCACATATCTATGTACTAATCCAGCTGGTTGGATTACGTGCAGCTGGTACGCTGTTTGTTGCTAATACACTATTTAAAAACTTACAGCAATATATAAAAAGGCTATCATTGATAATATAGTGAAAGTGATTACACTGTRTTTTAATAATATGTAAAAACTTATTACATTCTTATATTGAAAACATATAAAAAGGCTATAGAAAGTTTTCAGTTAATAGGCCTCCTAAGCACCTTGTCACTTTGATATAGACCATATGTATCAGTAGAAAATGTTAAAGGGCAGTGGATTAAAAAAGGCTGGTGGATTGAAACAGCTTGCAGAGAGAACTAGTGGGGTAAATAGGAAAAAAAATAATTGAGAATCATTTTGAAGTGCTATAATAGCAAAGAATGGAACATTTTAAAGTTAGATTGCTTGAGTGCCCGTGCTCTGATGGGAAGCAGATGATCCTTTTGATTCAGTAACATGATGCCTTTAGGATTTTTAGTTTCTCTATTTTCATACATCTGTATTCTTGTACTTCTCTAGTACAGCACTAAAAACTACCATTCTCCCATCTTTAGACAAAACAATTCCTCTCTGAGCCTGAATCCAAGGACACCTCGCTGCCTCAGAGYCCCAAAATATGGAAACAGCAGCGAGTTGGGGGGAGCAAGTTTGGGGTGGTTGACATCATGACCTGCTCTAGGAACTGGATTCAGGCATGGTCTCCTAAATAACGACTTTTCCRTGAACACTTGAGAAAGTCTGTGAATATAATGCATACAATGATGTTAAAAACATGCCTCTAAAAATAGCTTCCAATTTTTAACACAAAATATATTGTATATTGTATACTTTTTTCCCTTCTATCTTCYCTTTCCTCTCTTCATTTTTGCAATCACAGTCTGGGCTAAATTAAGAAAATTAGCAATATTGTTAAAAAAAGTTATTCACAAGAGAATACTGTAGGGAGGTTTACTTGTACAAGATCCTTGATTAACTATGGTTCTATTTTCTATTTCAACTAACTTGAGTGACTCTTCCCTTGAGATCTGACATTTTAATTAATATATTCTGCATCTATTAYATATTAATATAATCTATTACAATATTAATTATATACTAATATGTTCTTTCTCTCACTTCTAAGTCGAGAACAAACTGTCTTGCAYATCAGGCATGGCTACAGCGGAATAGTGCTTTGACTTAATGATATGCTAATGATATACTGCAATTGTTATTTAGCCTGGAGCAACAAACAGGTTGTTACAGACCGAGGGTTTTCATGGCTGCAATTTGCCTATGAGACCATAAGCTCTAGTGAGGAAGGGCTGCTTTCACTTCAGTATTCCCAAAAAGGTAGATTGCTTGATGCTGGACTTTATTCAGGTCTGTCTTCAGTGTGGCAGCCTTGTGGGGAGCTGGCAGGACACATAAGGAGTACATAAAAGCAATTAAAAGGTTTGAAATAAAAACAACATTGTGAAGTGACTTTCCTTAAAAAAAAAAGGACTCTCCTTAAATGTATTCAAAAATAATAGGATTCAAGGAGTTTGATCRACAGCGGTCATTAACTACTGCATTTTCTTTTTCTTTCTTATTTATTTGAAAATTATTTGCCAAATATCTGAATAATAATAATAATAATAAGGCAAATAAGAACGTACTTTGTATCAATTGAGACAACAATGTTTGACTTCACAATGCCCCAGCTCCTCCAGTTTTGAGCTGCAGATATGACAGATATATGTATATGACAGATCCCATACGTTCTTCTTGGATCAGAATGATGAGCTGTGGAATATGATGTTCCACATACAACAAAGTAATAATTGAAAAAAATCATCATAATTTATGCTACTGTGAAAGTCAGTGTTCAAGCACTGCTCAGCCTCCACACTGCAGACCTTTTAGAAAGAAATTTCATATAAGACCAAACAGAAAGGGATTTTAATCGTGGCTGTGTCCTTTTCCACTAGCATACCTTGATCATCAATGACAGATGGGGCCAATCTCTTCTCCCAGGCAACCAGGACAAGAGGACAGAGCCTCAAGCTGCACAAGGGGAGGTTCAGATTGGACATCAGGAGGAATTTTTTCACGGAAAGGGTTGTTAAACATTGGAATGGACTGCCCAGGGGGGTGGTGTAGTCTTCTCCAACCTAAATGATTCTGTGATTCTATTACTGTGTTTATKATGTCATTCAAAGTGAGGAAAGAAAAGCATGAAGGGAAGCATACGATGCATGTGTCTCTTCTTGTTGGCTTGACTTTTACTCTTTGTGTATTTTAACAGAAAAAATATTTTAGGAGAAAGTGCTCTCGACTGTTCCTCATTATAGCATCTACCTGTCTACTTCTTCAGAACTTTTTCTGCTTTATGCTCCTTGGCAAATTTACGTGTCTATGTACTAATCCAGCTGGTACACTATATATTGCTAATACACTATTTAAAAACTTATAACAATATATAAAAAGGCTATTATTGATAATATATTGAAAGCTGTTACATTGTATATTAATAATATGTAAAAAGCAATTACATTCTATATTGGTAATGCATAAAAAGTTATAAAAAGTTTTCAATCAATAGGCCTCAAAGCACCTTGTCACTTTGACATAAACCATAGGCAGCAGAGGTTTATTTTTCAGGTTTGCATTTAGAGCTGCCCTGTATGACTCGAAAGATTCTACTGAGTGCTGTCAGTGCTCCGGTGGAAGCACGGAGCAGGTGCAGGGAAAGCCGCTGTGCTAACAGACGGTGGTTTGAGCTCGGTAATTAACAGGCGTGAGATATTCACCATTCATTAATGACTCGACTAACGGTGCAAGAGGGACCATTTTAACCCGTTCGGCTGCTTGGAAGCGCCACACGGCCGAGCCGCTCTCTTGCTCGGGGGTTCCTGTGCAGCTCCTCGGACCAGCGGGCAGCGASGAGCCCTCGGCCCGTGTCACACAATCGTCAGGGCTGGGAAGCACTTCTGGGGGTCCGCTAGCCCAACAGATGCTCCCTACGCACACGCTTATATAAGCGCCCTGCCCGTGGGAGAGGGGATGCGGCGGGATCGGCGGGAACAGCCTGAGGGCTGAGGGAAGAGCGGGGCTGAGGGAAAGGGGCTGAGGGAAGAGCGGGGCTGAGGGAAGAGCGGGGCTGAGGGAA